CCAGAACAATATATATATATATATATATATTTGTATTAAAAATCGTACGATTTAATTTATAATCTAAGCAATCTTATGCCTTATTTGTCCTACTTATTATTTTGCATTAATTCTGCGTACTTATTATATATTTCATGCTTTTAATTTTTATTTAATGTTAATAAGAGAGATTAATATAATTAATATGATGTGTAAGCTAGTTTAGAAAATATTTAATTTTGTACTAAATTAGCCATGCCTCCTACATTTATAATATAACAATGACAATAGCTATTATTTAAAATTTAAAACAAATATACTTTAATTTGCATTGAAATAAGTTTAAAGTTTACTTATAAATCTATTTAAAGTTTAAACTTTGATAGCATTTGAAAAATCTTATAGGAATTGACATTAGAATTTTTTGAGAAGGAAAAGCTTGAAAATTTTTATTTAACAAATTCGATATTTTTATTTGTGACTTTTAAGTAAAAGGTTCTAAAGGCTTTAACAACTTCAATTTATGCTAAAAAAAGAAGAAAAAAAATCAGAATTTAAGTATTTTAGGAATAATTCTAAAAAAAATATTTTAGAAATAAATAAATAATGTTGGAACCACATTTACTTAATTTGACTTGAAAAACATAAAAGACCTAAATTTCATACAATTCAAATGAAAGAGATAAATGCATAACTAAACATTTTATTAAATATTCAATATAATTATTATCAATATATACATATTTACAATATATAAAATAATCTTCATGTACTTATTTGTAATGTTAAGATAATAATTTTTTAATAATATATAAAGTTTTCAATAATTTTATTTATTTACTCGTATATTGTACCGGTCACAATCTAGGCTTTAATAAATTTCAATTAATAATAATAAAAATATTATTTTCTCCAAAATTATAACATCGGTGTAACAATCATGTTACTCTACCAAGTACCAACCATAACATTTGGGCTACCTTGGCCAACCACCAAAAAAATATGCATTTACAGTATTGACATAACAATTAGATAAATCAAGGTCGACAAGGTAAACAACCATGAAAATGTCCAAACTAGAGATCATTGACATTCCTTGATACCCACGATGTCACAATATTTGTAGCAACAAATATTTCTTATTCATGAACAACTCAGTTACCAAATAACAATATGGAACAATACATCATGCAGGATCCGATAATATGAAAGCTGTCACATTATGTCACTATGATTAATAATTTAACAAACCATATTAATGTAATATAATAATAATACCCACAAAGAAATTGAAAAACCTTGTTCAGACCGATCCTATCAATCATTATGTTCATCATCTTGGCACAACTTTTCCTTGTCAAATTCGTCAAACTCTGAAACTATTAGAGACAAAAGAGGGTATGATATCATTATTCACAGTGCTAAAACCTGGTTGGTTGGTTCCAAGATCCATGTCAAGTTCTTTTGTGCAATTTCATCCATCATCATGAGCTTGGCCCTTAACATAAGTTTTTTTTGTGTGGTCATGTTTGTGTCATTCAAATTCAGCATGGTTTTGTGCATTAAAATTGAGGAATTCTACCCAGGAGAAAGAGATGCTTTGATGCTCATAAGGGATTCTTTGAATTCTTCTGTGGATTTGCATGGGAATTGGACGGGTCCTCCTTGTATAGACAATCATAGCAGATGGATTGGCATCACTTGTTCAAATTGGCATGTTGTTCAAATTGTTCTTGAAGGGGTTAACCTTAGTGGTTACTTGCCTCATACATTCCTTCAAAACATAACTTTCTTGAGCCAACTTGACTTCAGAAACAATGCACTTTTTGGACCAGTGCCCAGTCTCAAGAATTTGACGTTTTTGGAACAAGTTTTGCTATCATCCAATCATTTCTCAGGGTCAATTCCTGTGGAGTATGTTGAACTTCCTAGTCTAGAGGTTTTGGAGTTGCAAGAGAATTACTTAGATGGTCAAATTCCACCATTTGATCAAGCATCCTTGACAAGTTTTAATGTGTCATATAATTATCTTTCAGGGCCTATTCCTGAAACTTCTGTGCTGCAACGGTTTCCTGATAGTTCATTCGGTAATAATTCAGGTCTTTGTGGAAAGCCATTGGATAACCCATGTCCTATTGAACCTCCATCTCCATCTCCATTTTATGCACCACCTCCTTTTGTTGTTCCTCCAAGTTCACCAATGGAACCAAATAAGAAGAGGCTTCATGCATGGATTGTTGCTTTGATTGGTGCTGCATCTGCATTTTTTCTACTTTCTCTGATAATTATTATTGCTTTCTTGTTTCTTAAAAGAAGAAGAACAAGTGGAAAAGAACCAAGAAGGAATGATTCAACAGGTAAAATATATCCTATACATGTCAATTCCACCATTGATTTTGTTTAAAGGCTTATTACAATGCTATTTATGCAAAGTTTCAATGATACAAAAATAAAAATGTTAAAAAACATTTGTCTAATAAATTTAGACTGTCATTGACATAAAGTAAAATGCAGTGCTGATTCAGGATTTCGAAATGTTATGATTTTTTTTTTAATTTTTTATTTTTGTATAGGGTATGTTTTTGGGGCATGGGCAAAGAAGATGGTGTATTATGCTGGAAACAGTGATGTTTCTGAAAGGATTGGGAAATTGGAATTTTCCAACAAGAAAATGGCAGTTTTTGACTTGGATGATTTATTAAGGGCATCAGCAGAAGTGCTTGGAAGAGGGAACTTAGGCATTACATACAAAGCAACACTTGAAACTGGAAGTGTTGTTGCAGTGAAGAGACTTAACCACGTGAATGAACTGAGCAAGAGGGAATTTCTCCAGCAGATGCAATTGCTAGGACAGATGAAGCATGAAAATCTTGTAGAAATCGTCTCCTTCTATTATTCAGAGGAGCAAAAGCTGGTCATATATGAATTTACCTCTGATGGCTCTTTGTTTGAATTTCTACATGGTTAGTTTTGATTCTTTCCTTCCTTAAAACACAAAAAGAAAAAACTAAATATGTTTTTAGTTCTTGAACATTTGACAATTCTACCTTTTAATTACTGAACAAATTCTTTACTAGTTTTAATCTCTAAATTTTTGTTGATTTTCACACTTAGTCTTTGAATATTTTCGTTAACATTTTTGTTCCGTGATGTCGAGATTTTTTCTTCATGAGAGAAAACGTTAGGGATTAAAAATAAAAGCCGAGAAAAATTCAGAGACTAAAAATATATTTAATCTGACACAAAATAACTAACTCAATACGCTAACATTCATAATCTGCTGGTGCTAGAGGGTAGAGGACTAGGAAGAATACCACTTGATTGGACAAAAAGACTTTCTATAATCAAAGAGATTGCAAAGGGTCTTGCTTTCCTCCATCATTCTTTGCCTCAGCACAAGGTCCCTCATGCCAACCTCAAATCATCCAATGTCCTAATCCATGAAGACAGTAAAGGGTACCATTCCAAGCTCACAGACTATGGTTTCTTGCCTCTACTCCCAGCCAAACAGAATGCAGAAAAGCTAGCCATAAGGAGGTCACCAGAGTTTGTTCAAGGGAAGAGGCTGACACACAAAGCTGATGTTTATTGCTTTGGTATCATCATGCTAGAGATCATAACTGGCAAAATCCCTGGTCATGTCATAGGTGAAATTGAGGAAACAACTAATGATCTTTCAGATTGGGTGAGAACTGTGGTCAACAATGATTGGTCCACAGACATATTGGACTTGGAAATACTAGCAGAAAAAGAAGGGCATGATGCAATGCTGAAGCTGACAGAGTTAGCTCTAGAGTGCACAGATGTGACACCAGAGAAACGGCCTAAGATGAGTGTAGTATTGATGAGAATAGAAGAGATAGAGCAAATGAGAAAAGAGAATGACTAGAACAAATTTAAGTCACTACAGCAAGATGTATTATTATTGTCTTGCATGAAGTGCACCCCAACAATGTCCTTGTAATCTTGTATACATCTTAACACTCCACTCATATGACATACCATCCAAATCAGAAATGGCTTAACAACTGCATATAACAATATGTACGGATGACAATTTTTTCAGAAGAGATAAATTCTCTTCGATGTTGAGAAATTATTATTTCCATTTTTCCCCATTTTATGAATTTTATTATTTCCATTTATTTTATGATATCCTGTAATTAATGTAATCAAGTTTACCTAGTAGGAGAAGATTTTGTTCTTGTTATTGTATGATTTGGTTTAGAAGACAGTTAAGACATACTAGTAATTATTAGAACATCAGGTGACATGTAACAAATAGAAAGAAAGTACTTTATTCACAGTTTTGATGCTGAAGATATGCCTTATTCAAAGTCATCTGGGATCACATTTTCAATTTTACTATTTCGTTTTTTCTCTCCTTTGCTTCAACTATGTCCAGATTTTGGTGCCTCAGAATATCACAGTTAAGTTGAGCTATTTATTGAATGAAAGAATGTTTTTCCTCTCCATTAGATAGATTAATTGGAGAGAAGGATCATAGACAGTTAATTAAGCATTTGAGTTTGAAGAGAAAAAGGGTATTTTCTAATAGTTAATAAATGTAATATGAGCAATAAAAATATGCCATTATTAACCAAACTCAAGAACTTGACACAGAATATGATGAACTGGAAGTGGGTTAAAGATTTTGGGACAGTCAAGGTTACTCACATGGGATACCCTCCACAAGCAAAGTTAGGGATGGACACGTCCACGGTCCACCTCATCCACACGAATAATTTGAAAGCTCTGCTTTTCAAAGGTTGAGTAGGTTGCAACATAATAAATGAAGGAAAATATACCACATACAATTTTTAAGCAGTTATTTAATAAGGTTTGATATTGTTCCTCGTAATAAATGAAGGAAGTCGTAAAAATATATTTTTCATCCTTATAAAATTTATGCACTATTTTTACTCTCTACTTTTTAATTAAGTGATAAATTTAGGTGGAATATAATTATGTGTGATATTATGTTAGCATGTAATTTTTTTTAAAAAGTTATAATTCTTCAAAATAAATATTATTTTCTTAATTATTAGGGTAGTCTTGTGGTTGGATTGGAAGAAGTTTGGATAATTAGAAATATGAGACATAAATTTGATTTTTTTTTTGACAATTTTTGTAATTATTTTTATTTTTACAAAAATTTTTTTTATTGCGATAAAGAAGACATGAAGCACTTGGAACTAGAAGCAAAAGTAAGAAATGTTTTATATTGTGCCATGAATTAAGATATTTTTGAATAAAATTTCAAGTGCGACTTAAATATGTTTAAATTATCTTCAATTAGGCCAACTTTTAGATTATTTCCTGTTAAATTTTTTTTAGTATCTGACGTTAGTTCCTCTTTATTAAGTAATGACATGGTTGATAGATTGTCACGTCATCACCCAATAATGTCTACCACATCATCTAAATGTTCATGTGACAGTCCTTTAAATGATATGACAGACACTGTTGAGTGATGATGTGACAATCTATCAACCATGTCATTATTTAACGGAGAGAAACTAATGTCAAATAATAAATTAAAAAAAAATCAAGTATTTTAAAAAAAATTAATAGATAATAATATAAAAACTAAAATTTGAGATAATTCGATCATATTTAATCATTATTTTAAAGACTAAATGTGACACATTTCTAAATTAGAAAGACTGAAATGGATTTTTTTATAAAAAAAAAAACATTTACCGCAAAAAATAACTCGAACTTCAATTAATACACGAGTCAGACAAGCCTCCAAAACCGCAACCGCATGGCATAGATAGTAGCTACATGTTGGTTTTTGTCCTGTTGAGTGAATCAGGATCAACACAGGCAAAATTGTTGATGTTGATATGGGTAGGAAATAAAGAATGACTCAATTTGTAAAAAGCAGCCAACACATACCAATACCCCTACGTGTCCACCATTTAGCATTTCACACAACTAGGTGTCTCAACTAAGTTCAATACCTAGTTTCCCCATATAAGCACACTATCACTCCACTTCTCTAAGCCATGCACAAAAGGCCTTCACTTTAGCCTCTTTTTCTCCATAACTTCTCACCTTTCAGTTTCGTTTTCTACAAAGAATAAACCCTTTTTGTGAAGAGAGAATATAGTCTCAGCTGGATCAGGATCATTCATATTGAAATACCAGTTGTGTGTGACAATCTTAGTTGGTTGAGGGTGCAAGAGAGAGTTTTGCTGTGATGGCAACTCGTAGATATGCTTTTGGAAGGGCTGATGAGGCCACTCATCCAGACTCCATGAGGGCCACTTTGGCTGAATTTGCCTCCACTTTCATCTTTGTCTTTGCTGGAGAAGGCTCAGGCCTTGCTTTGGGTTTGTACATGTTCAAAATCGTGCTTCATACTTCACATATAAATGCTTTGAATCTTTTTATTGCATGTTTACATGGGCTTAATTTACTAGATATGATCTTAGGAGTTTTTTTTTATGCTGCTTTGGCTACATGCTAAAGAGTGTTTGTTTATCTGAAATAACTCTCTCTTTTCCATACATCTTCTCTTATAAGTTTACAAGCATAGAAGTGCTTCTTTATCTGAAATAACTCTTTCATTTCAGTAGAGTATCCTTAGAAGTGCTTCTTGATATAAGCTTAGAAGTGTTTCTTTATCTGAAATAACTCTCATTTCAGTTGTGAAGCTGTTGTATTCAAACATGCTCTTAATCTTCAATGTATATAAAACTTTTTCAGCTGAGTTAAAGGTGACATTTGATCTTGGATTATCTAATGCATGTTATGAATATGCTAGTTATTTGTGTGATTTGTTTTTGTTGCAGTTAAGATTTATCATGATTCAGCTTTCTCAGCTGGCGAACTATTGGCACTTTCACTGGCACATGCATTTGCTCTATTTGCTGCTGTATCTGCGAGCATGCATGTATCAGGTGGTCATGTCAACCCAGCTGTGACATTCGGTGCTCTTCTTGGGGGAAGGATCTCTGTGGTTCGAGCTGTATACTATTGGATTGCTCAACTTCTAGGTGCTATAGTGGCTGCCCTTGTGCTCAGGCTTGTCACTAATAACATGGTAAAATCTATATCCCACTTTTTCAAAAGATTAAAAAAAAAAAAACTTCGATACAATAAGGATGATGTATACAAAGATGTTACTGTGGCTGTTTATAGTTCTTATATGTGCTAACAAGATTAAGAGGTTAATTTCTATACATTATTACTCATAAAAACTGTTATAGTCAATCCCTCCGAAATCATAAATTGATATGATTTTTAAAGTACTTGTATAAAAGTTACCAAACATGCTGAACATCACAATTTGTGATTTGAGGCTGTATATATTGGTTCTGTTTACTCAATTATTATAAAAGCCAATAATGAGATAACAGTTAAATCATTTTAATTTTAATGGTGACATGAAAAAAATTGGACTTTTTCAATGAAAACTGATGTGTTGTTGTGGTCTCTTGTAGAGACCATCAGGGTTCCACGTGTCAGAAGGTGTTGGCGTAGGACACATGCTTATACTTGAGATTATCATGACATTTGGGCTGATGTACACAGTGTATGCTACTGCAATTGATCCCAAAAGGGGTGCTGTTAGCAACATTGCACCGTTGGCAATTGGACTCATTGTTGGGGCAAACATCCTGGTTGGTGGGCCATTTGATGGAGCATGCATGAACCCTGCTCTGGCTTTTGGGCCTTCCTTGGTGGGCTGGAGATGGCACAACCACTGGATCTTCTGGGTGGGCCCATTGATTGGGGCAGCATTGGCAGCACTGGTGTATGAATATGTTGTGATCCCAACTGAGCCCCCTCACCAACACCAACCTTTGGCTTCTGAAGATTACTAGTTGCACTTGTGCATCAAAATATGAGTGTTATTAGCTTTTGTGTATCAAAATGTAAGAGTATGCTTGTGTTTTGTTTTTTCAACCACCTTTCTGCTTGAGTCACCGCTAGGCTCCTGCATGTGCATTTTTACTTTTCTTGTTTTGGGGTCACAAATGCCAAAATCTACTCGAGTGTGTAGCTGTTGTATTTTGTCTTCAACACATACTGAATAAAATGTGTGTGAAACCCTATTTTGTATAGGGATGTTGCTCTTGCATCATATTCAATTCACACTTTAATATAATGCTGAAAGTAACCAATAGATTTAAGAACTATTCATAGGTTTAGGGTTTAGGGTTTAGGGTTTAGGGTTTAGGGTTTAGGGTTTAGGGTTTAGGGTTTAGGGTTTAGGGTTTAGGGTTTAGGGTTTAGGGTTTAGGGTTTAGGGTTTAGGGTTTAGGGTTTAGGGTTTAGGGTTTAGGGTTTAGGGTTTAGGGTTTAGGGTTTAGGGTTTAGGGTTTAGGGTTTAGGGTTTAGGGTTTAGGGTTTAGGGTTTAGGGTTTAGGGTTTAGGGTTTAGAGTTTAGAGTTTGTGTTTGTGTTTGCTTATAAAATCTGGCGACCCAAGGAGCAAGTTTGGTATTATGGGGTGTCCTGGGGTTGGAAGAGTAATAATCTGACCAATAGCAAGGGTTGAGTCTATCAGAAAATTTGTTGTCAGCATAAAGGCAAAACGGAAGCCAATTTTCACCTCCATTCATTCTTCTCTTCCTTTCCCTTGGGTAAGCTAACGGTGCCTGTACATACCTGCAATTGTGTGAAAACCTTTTAGCAATATATCAATGAAGGAAAATGAGAATATCATTGATTCCTGTCTCTTTTAAAAACAGAGCTAAAATATGAACAAGAATGGAAGTTTACTCACTTTCACTCCAAATAAGTTAAAATATGCTTTTTTTGGTCTCTTATTTTATGGTTTCAATTTAGTCTGACATCTTTCACAATTTGTCAACACTTTATCAACTTATGATAAACTAATAGAAGCCAACTTATTCTTAAATTTTAAGGGAACTAAAGTACATATATTTTGAAGGATATCTCTCACAATTTGTCAAAACTTTATCAAGTTATGATAAACTAAAAGCCAACTTAATCTAACATACATTTTAAGTGAATTAAAGTACATACATTTTAAGGGAAGGAACTAAAGTGATAATGATACTTTTTAAATTAGATACCAAACTAAAAGGTTTACATAAAGACTAAAAGAATACCTGATACCATCAACAACAGCATCCCAGCAGAAGTGAGTATGGCCAAACACATGGCAAGAAGAGGCATCCTTCCTTCCCTCAGCCCCATGTATAGACCTTATTCGATCTTCAAGAGAGTCTGAACCAATTATTTTTGGAAGCTTGGGATAGAATAACATCCTCTTCTCTGGACAAAGTTCCTGCCTGTGAAGCGTGTAGCATAACCACAACAAATTAATATGTTCATCTTTTGGAGTAACACAACCACACTAGTGTTGCTGTTTAAGTTGCTCCTCATGCACCAAGAGACATGTCATAAGTTAATATAATGCATCTTGGTGTTTATGAGGAATTATGCAGTGCAAAGTCACAATATGTAGCTTTTCATCATGCAATCATGCATTATGGGCCACATTTTGTTAATTTAATTTTGGTGTTTATAAGAGATGTCACTGAGTGGAGTTTAGACTCATTTTGGAAATTAGAACACCAGCACTATTGCACTGACAGAAACATCATGTACTGAGCAATAAACACAGTAATTTCTACACCAAAACTCGCAACACAATTTAGAGCAATTTGTTGTGGCTAAGCATGCAATTAGTTCTATGAAGTTGGAATTGACAACATAGGGAGATCTTTTACAAATTTTCCTTTCCTTTCTTTTGCAAGACCACTAGAGGCACCCATGGGAATGGTAGATTGTATGTTTTTAGCCTTTTTTTTTTTTAAAATTTTATCCATCAGAATCGAACTCAGAATTGCATGTATTTTAGTCCTTTAAAAAGGGTAGAGACACCAAGAAAAACTATAAAGGAAACTATTAAAAAGGGTCTCATGGTATCCCTGAAAATTTGGATCTTGGCTGTCTTATGGTGTCATTGGTCTATGTAGCCAACCTTGCCTAGAGGGGTAGGTTATTGTTGTTGTTACTTGAGGCCAAAGTATAATAGAAGATGGCTAAACTCGAGCAAAGATCAAACAGCACCGTATACATAAGTGACTGCTACAAAAGTTGCAAGTCAATCATCTAAAATATTCTACAAAACAAGAAGTAACATGCAATCAGAACATGTGTAAGAAATCTATACATTTATTCAGTTTCTCCATAAAACCTAAGTATTATAATAAAAGAACTTAAAAAAGAGCATTAGTTAAGTTTCTCAGTTTGTCAATCAAACACTTCATAATTAATTTCTATAGAAGTTTAGGAAAGAACGATAAAGGAGTAAAGGACTACTGCAACATTTCTCATAACATGATTAGGTAGATTGTTAGGCCATGTAATTCAAACAGCACGTCAATCATACATAGAAGCAATAATAATTGATTGTTTAATTTTAACCTGAGCAATAGAGCTACAATTTAAATGACAGATTAACCACCTGGGAACAAAGTGGGAAAAGGTAATGATGTGATCACACGTCATCTGAATCTCCTTTATCACTTTCATTTGTTTATCATTCATGGCATCAAAATATAAAGCAAGGGACATGTCTCCATTTGAAAGTCCCTCGGGCCACTTACACGCATAGAAGTCTTTACATGCCTAGGGAAAAAGAAGGTACAGACTTAAATCAATATAAATCAATTTGAGCACTACATGGAAAGTAAGAAAAACATAGAAATAAACGGATATAGTCATATAGATACTAAATTAAAGAAGAATGTTCCTATCATAATATGTACACATAGTAACCTTGATCAAAATTCAAAAGCAGGCACATGGAACGGTAAAAAATAACAGTTACTATGAGATATTATAATTCGGTTATTTTTATATTTTAGATTATGATAACGAAGATAAAGGAGAGGCCATCAATTTAGAAGTTGTAAGAAATCTTAAAGAAGGTTTTAATATCATTGTTGAAGATAAAAAATTATGATTTGAAATACATGGTAAGAAAACTACTTTATTTTTGTTTTTCTATTCTACGGGTGTTTCCATTTGTCGACAAATTGATGTTTATTATTATTATTATTATTTTCAGTTTTTGTGGAAGATGTTAGAAGACTTATGAAACTTTGATTTATTTGACTTAGACTTTAATATTTGATTAATACATTGTCTATTTATAAAATTACATGCATGTTTTACATAGTATTGTCTTTTTTAAGCTAACCATTACACCTTAACCTTTGTAACTTTTAAAACTTACAAGTGTAAACTCTTAAATATATTATATATAAGTATGTGTTTCACTATAACTTTTATAAATGGTAGATGAGATTGCTTTCATAATATGTAATAATTTTTCACATGTTAATAAAAAAAAATTATCATAATAATTGTCAAATTTGAATTTTGGAGAAAAATAAAAAAATCAATTAAGGTAAAAATAAAAAAATAAAAAATAGGCCAGCCCGAAAGAGTCATAGTTCCCATAGAAAAAATCCAAAGTCCATAAAGTACCGAGTTTGGACATCAATTTAGAAAACTGAATTCAATCCAAACCTTTTACCCAAGCAAAACCACATAGATGCTTATAATACAAGACATAAATTAGCTCAAAATTTATATGCAGATAGTCCTTAATCAAGCACCATAGGAAATCAAGTGCATGATCTGATCATCAATCAACTTTTTTCAAATGGCTTACTAGGAGTTAAAGAGAATAGTCACCATCTCCAAAGACGGAATGCGAAAGCCTGTTATGTCCTTCTCTTTGTCAAAGCTCTGTCAAAGAAGCAGGTTCAACATTTAAATAAATTGCCCTCGAGGAAAACTTTGAATCAAGTCCAACACAAGGTATGGAAGAACGAGGACTGGAGGAGCCAAAAACTGACACTATAGAAAGTAATCACCTCATGGTACCAAGAGAACAAAGGAATTATTCCTATTTCATCTATAACCATTGGATTTGTCTCCACTCCGATTCTCTTACATGCATCAAGCAATTTATTCAGCTTTTCAAGAGAATCAAACTGGAAAGAAATCAGCAAAACTTTATCAGAACAAAACTATTGCAAAAAAGACAGAATGGAATCAATAAGTATAAACATCAATAACTTCTAGGTGATAACACAACATTAAAATTAATGAAAATAGTATGTTAGTAAGTACCGTTTTCAATATCATGTTTAAAAAACAGATATACAACAAGGCATCTGTAATTTCAAGTTAAAGAAAACAATGGCAAATCAGGTAGCGGATACAGTGTAAAATACACCCGAAAAAATATTGATGAAATTAATGGAATAAGATTCCAAAACAAAGTAACGAACACTTTTCCTTTATTTTTGGTGGGGGAAGCTCAGATGAAAACCATTATCTACACACAGAATGAACATAAACAAAGTCACTAGTCTAGAACTCAGGTTTAGATATTGAGATTGCAGATATGTTCCTTTTTTATTGATTAATCAAGTAAGGGGATAACAACTCATTTTTCAGACTAAATAATGGCCAAAGCAAAATTTAACAAACAAGCTAGAATACTTAATCTTTAACAAAGTCAAACTAAGAGCATCTACTTTCTAATAATGGTTGCATAGCTAATTAAGTTGGCAAACAAGCTCCGATGGAATTATGCCATAGTTTTCACCTGATGTGAGTGACATACCTCCATTGTGTCTCAAATTATAAAACGCAATCACAAACTCTTAAGAAAATGGGTTTCAACCTACTCAATCTTACAAAATTAGTTTGTAGGATGAAGATTGCTCCTAACTCACATACAATATTATGACCTTCTCACTAATCAATATGCAATATCCAACATACTCTCTTACGTCGAGAATTGAACATCTTAAGTGTGAAGTTTGCAGGATGACCCAATAACGGACAACAGGATAGCCTGATAAGCTCAACAACACTTACTATTATAGACTCTGATACTATCTTAAGAAAATAGGTTTGAACCTACCTCAATCTCACTAAATTTGCTTGTAAAATAAGGATTGTACTCTACTTATAAACAATGTTATAGCGTTCTCACTAGTCAATATAAAATCTCCAACATGAACCATGAAAAAAAGGACTATACATTCAAAATTAAACATGCCACACATAACATCAAGAACCAATCATCCTTGCCTAACAACAACAACGAATCATCCTAAAAGTTTTAGTAGTCAGGTAGAGAGGCACAGAATCGTTTTCATTTCTAAAAAACATTCCACACAATGCACAAACTTGAACCAAATGATCAAGCACAACAACCTTACATAGTTTTGCCCCTCACGGCGGCACCAAAGGTCATGGTTTCCAGGAACATAGAAGACATGATCAAACTTCTCTTTCAAAAGAGACATTGTGACAACAAACATGGAATATGTCTCAGCCACATCACCTGCCACAAGAAGCACATCATTCTGGTGTCTCACATTGGACAAGCCCTCCACCCAGTTCAGATTATCATCATAGTCAGTGTGCAAGTCAGACACCACAAACACACGCACCCCTTCGGTGCTCCCCAACACAGGAGGCACAATCTGTGGCCTTCCAATGCCACCCATTTTAATGTGTTTCCCATAACTGCTGCTAACTGTCACTTGTTTGGAGAAATATGCAGTGTGGTGAGGATTATGAGAGAGGGTGAGACATGAAGGGTTGAACCTCACCACCATGAGTACAAAATAAAAATAAAAAATAAACACTTTTGATATGACAAAGATCCTAATTCACCATACAAATGCCACCAAAATGAACAAATGGCAAAAGCGTAGCTGGTAATTAGCTCCTGACAGCAAAACCAAGTTCAGATTTAGAACATGAAGGATTGCATAGGAAACATCGAACAGAATACCCAAAATCTGAAGAAGAGTATGTGAGAATCACAAAGGGGAAAAGTCAATCTGATAATTGGCCACTTGAAAAAATTGATTTTGAATGAATTAAAATTTGATTTTGAATGAATTAAAATTTGATTTAAGTTCCTTTCGTTCTCTTAGATTAGATATCTACCCTAAATTTTCTCGAAAACAATTTTTTTAAAGGTTTTTATTTTTCTTGGAAGGTAATATAGCATAGCAGGCTAAGAAAAATATCATTTTTTTTTTAATTTTAGGTTTCAATTTTTAAGTCCAAAATTTTTTTTCTTTTTTTTTATTATTTAAAAAAGCTTTTTCTCATTTCTTATTTATGAAGGTGGAGATGAAAATAACATGGTTTCTTCCCTTTATAAATTTTTAATTTAACTATCTATCTATTTATATATATATATATAGA